AATTCCTGGAGCCTTGGTTTTTGCAAATTCCTCCATGTAGCTTGGCCTTCATCCCTCAGTACCATGTTCTTGAACATATGCTACCTCCTGAAGAGGCTGAATGATGACCAGTTCATTTTGGTATAGAGACTGCATATTCTTTCCATCTTGTTTTGATACTTCCTGTACTGTTCAATATTTTGTCCATAGAATCCTTCAATACTGCCACTCGTGGCTTGAATTTTTTCTTCAATTCTGTCAGCTTGAGAAATGCTGAGTGTGTTCCTCCATCCTGCTTTTCTAACTCCAGATCTTTGTGCATTTTGTTATAATAATTTACTGTGTTTTCAAGTGATCGTCTGATATCTTTCAAACTCTTTTACTTCATCATTTCTTCCATTCACTTTAACTACTCTACATTTAGTCTCTGACATCCATTTTAATCTTTTCTTTCTCTCCTGACCTTTTGTTTTCTTCATGTGTGATGTTCCTGATGTCATCCCACAACTCATCTGATCTTCGGTCACTGGTGTTAAGTGGTTCAAGTCTATTCTTTAGATGGTCTCTAAATTCAGTTGGGATATACTGAACTTATATGAGGTCATATTTTGGTTCTTGTGGACTGGTTTTAGTTTTCTTGAGGTTCAATTTGAACTTGCATATGAGCAACTGATGGTCTGTTCCTTAACTAGCCCCTAGCCTTGTTTTAACTGATGGTATTGCGCTTCTCCATTGTCTCTTTCCATAGATGTAGTCCATCTAATTCCTTATGTATTCCATTTGTCGAGGTCCACGTGTATAGTTGCAGTTTATGTTATTAATAAAAGGTATCTGTAATTAACAGGTCATTAGTCTTGCAAAATTCTATCATGTGATCTCTGACATAATTTCTTTTTTTTTATTGTGATTTGGGTGAAGATTTACAGAGCAAATTCACTTTCCATACAGCAATTCACATATACTTTGTCTCACGCCATTGACCACAGTTTACCACAGTGCAACAGCTCCTCTCACACTTCCTCCCATAGTTACCTCTTCCCAGTGTCCATCCCTCCATACACTCCTGCCCCCTGAGCTGTCTCCCTGTACATAAACAGCCCTTCTTTCTCCCATGACTGTTCTCTCCAAAGAATGTATCTACTTGAGGTAAATGTTCAACTCATATGCCTGTATTTTGTTTGGCTGGAAACCACAGGTGTGGGTTCACTTCCAGACCTGAAGGGCAGCTAGGGGCCAGAGTCTCAGTGGTTCCATCAGGCTCTATCGGACCAGCAAACCTGGTCCCCCCCCATTTTTTTTTTCCTCCAAATGATTTTGAGTTTTGTTCCACATTGTTCTCCCTCTCAAGGATCTCCTACACAGATCCCCTTCCAAGTGGATGACAGTAGTAGCCGGGCACCATCTACTTCATCTGGTCTCATAGTTGTATAGGCTGCAGATCAGATGGTGTACCAGTCGCTAGGACTAATTGTTTCCATGAATTTTGGTTTTCTTCATTCTTCTTTGCTCTAGACGAGGAGAGACCCATCGTTGCATCTAGATGGCAGCTTGCTAGCTTTTAAGATCCCAGTCATTACTTGCCAAAGTAGGAGGTGGAACAATGTTTTGTATGGTATGTTATGCCAATTGGGCTTGATGTCCCCTGTGACTATGGTCCCAAGCCCGCAGGTTCAACTACTCAGTCCCTCTGGGTAGCTGGCTGTTACCAAGCAGTGACCACAACCTTGTCCCTTGTCAGCTCTACTATACACCTGGGAATTCTGATCATTCACATGAACTTAGAGGACCATTGTCTGCCAACCCTATATATGTTCTTGGATACACTCCCCATTTCATAAACATACCTAATCATTTAGCCTGTCCACCAATCTATCCATCCATATACCCATGTTTGCCTTCACTGACAACGCAGTACTGTACGTGCAAAAGGGTTCTTATTTGTTGTCTGACATAATTTCTTATCACCAAGGTTTTATTTTCCAGCCATTGATGCTTCTTCTGTCTCCAACTTTTGCATTCTCATCACCAGCAGTACTCAAATCAATGCATCTTTATTGCATGTTTTGTCAATTTCAGACTGCAGAAGTTTGTAAAATCTTTATAATTTCATCATCTTCAGCTTTAGTGGCTGGTATGTAAATTTTAGTAATAGTAGTACTAACTGGTCTTCCTTGTAGGCATACGGATAGTATCCTATGACTGACAGCATTGCACTTCAGGATAGATCTTGAAATGTTCTTTGTGAGGATGAATGTGATGCCATTCCCAGCACTGTAGACCATATGTCTAAAGTACTATGTAATTATCTTATGCATCGTAAATCTTAACTTTATGATGTTAATGAGGCAGGAGTAGCAGCAGTTATGTTAATGAGGCAGGATAAAATCTGCAAGACACAACCTTCAGGATAGGGCTGTATGTTGAGTCAATCTCTTTTGGGATAGAAAAGATATTAGATGAGCAAGCAGAGATGGGACGGACCTACTACCACCAAGAAAAAAGAGCCAGGAGCAGAGTGTGTGTCCTTTGGACCCATGGTCCTTGTGCTATGAGCCTCCTAGAACCATGGGACACACTGAGACAAAGCCTTCCCCTAAAGCCAGTGCCCTGAATTCAGACTTCTAGCCTCCTGAACTATGAGCATAAATTTTTAGTTAAAGCCATCCCACTTGTCCTATTTCTGTTTTAGCAGCTCTAGATAACTAAAACAGTTATCTAATAATAACTCACTGCCGTCGAGTCGAACCCAACTCATAGTGACCCCTCCTTGGGTTTCCAAGGCGGTATCACTACGGAAGTAGATTGTTCAACCTTCCTTCTGAGGAGTGGCTGGTGGGTTTGAACCTCCAGCCTTCTGGTGAGCAGTCACATGCCTTAGGCACTATGCTACCAGCGCTACTTATCTAACAATAGGGCCCCTAAAATATGAACAATGGATGACAAGTGAGACAGAGAGGAGAGGGAGAGAGAAAGAAAGAGAGAGAGAGAGTTCAACAGTAATATTTGGAGATTCCGATAAAGGACAGAACAACTAGGCAGAAGATCAACCAGGAAAAGGAAAAACTGAACACTATAAACCAACAAGACTTAACCAACATTTATAGAACACTCTACCAAGTAACAGCAGAATACTCATTCTTCTCAAGTGTACATAAACATTCTATAGAACAAATCATATGCTAGGTCATAAAGCATTTCATTATATTGAAAAAAAATCTTATAAAGTATGTTTTCTAATCATAACAGAGTGAAATTAAACATAACAAAATGTAATTTGGGAAATTCAGATGTATGTAGAAATTAAAAAAAACACTTCTCAATAACCAAGTGGTCAAAGGAGAAATCACTAGGGAAGTTAAAAAATACTTTGAGATGAATGAAAATGAAGACATAACATATGAGAACTCAAAAAATGCATCTTAAGCAATGCTTAGAAGGAACTTCATAGCTGTAAACACCTATATTAAAAAAAGAAGATCCAATATCAAAGACCTAACAACCTTCTACCTTACGACACTGGAAAAAGAGTAAACCTAGTGAGCTCTGATAGCACAGTGCCTAAGGCTACTAACCAGAAGGCTGGTGGTTCCAACCCACCAGTCACTCCAAGGAAGGAAGACTGGGCAATCTAATTCCGTAGTGACACTGCCTTGGAAACCCTAGGAGGGGTTGCTATGAGTTGGATCCGACTTGATGGCAGTGAGTTTTTAGTAGAAAGCAAGCACAAGAGAGGAAATCAATGTTAAAACAAATTAGTGAAATGGAGAACAGAAAAATCAAGAAAATCAACAAAACCAAAAGGTTCTTTGAAAAGATGAACAAAATAGACAAATATTTAGCTAGGCTGTCTAATAAAGAAAGAGGTAAGACTCAAATTTATTATGACAAATAAACACACTTATTTATGAATAATATTTTAATTGAGTTTTTGGTGAAAATTTACAAAGCATGTTAGGTTCCCATTTGACAATTTCCAAATATTTCCTCGACATATTGGATAGTGACAATACTCTCTCAGTGTTCAGTTTGTTCCCTTTCTAGTACTCTATTGCCCTGCCTCTTTATCATCTCATCTTTGCTTCTGAGCAACTGCTGACCTTTTGATCTCCTACTGATGGTTTTTAAGTAGGGTACTGACCTTATGAGTAATATCCTTTATTTTGTGTATCACTCTGCCATTTTGCTAAAAACTGATCTCAGGTGACAGACAGGCTCAATTTTAGGTTTTAAAGAATGTTTCAGGGCAACAGTCTCAGGGAGTCCTCTGTTCTCTACTGTTCAAGCTTGTCTAGTTTTTTTTTTTTCTTTTAATAAGAATTTGAGTTCTGCTCTATATTTTTCTTCCATTCTATTATCTGTGATCAACTATTGTGACATTGGTCAAAAAGGTCCATGGTGGTAGCCAGGCATCATCTATTTCTTCTGCTCTCAGGTAGATGTGGTTGTGGCTCCCAAAGACTCGACTCTTCTCTGCACTTCTGGTTGCCTTCTTGCTGTTTTGTTGCTGGTACAGAGAGGCTCACAGTTGAGTCTTAGATGGTTGCTCCCAAGTTTTTAAGACCCCAGATGCTACTATTCACTTCACTAGGATTCAGATCATGTTTTCTGTGTACTATGTTATGTCAACTGAGTTGTCCCATGACACTATGGTCCTAAGCCTTCAAATCCACAAAACCAATGTTTGAAAGTTTTTCAATATATCTGAGAAATATGCACATTTGGAATACACTTTTTCTTAATTTCAAAGAATATTAGGTGCTTTTATTTCAAATGTGATTTAGAGTCATAAGGTCAAACTAAAGAACTACTTATAATTTATAGCTTGATCAAAATTAACATAAAATATAACAAGTATTTATAACTCAACAACTTTCTAAAGAAAAACATTCTTATTTATGCTATCATACTTTTTCCTATGGAGTACTGTAATGTTATATTGTGCCACAAATGGTTAAAAGCAACATCTTATTTAACAGTTTGAGTGATATGAATGAAAGTATATACATACATTATTTTAGAAAATTAGGGTTATCTTCTCTGGAAAGTTAGCTTGCAAATGAAAAGAAGGAACCCAAATCCACATACAGTAACAGCTGTTCTCTTCAAAATTTTACTATTCCATGGAGATACTTCTTCCACTGATGGTATATGAGTTGGATCATTTTCCCGTTCACTTTGCAACTAATATTTAGTAGGCAAAAAGAAAAGAAATAGTATGCAATACACTGGAAATAAAAATATCATTACTTTTAAAAAAATACATCAACATTAATTCACTTGATTGAGATGTAGTCAACTCAAGATTCCCACAGAAGATTTAACATGAACATGTTATGAAGACAATCTTTCCTTCACCAGGATCCCATTATGTTAAATTATTAGTTTTACATTAAAACGAAATACTTTCATACCTTATCACTTTCTTAAATAGCGTTTCATATGAAAAGATAAAGATCCTTTAATTTTAAAGTTTCTATTTCTGCGTGTGAGGGATGGCAACTGTATTTACTTCCTTCTGTATTAACTGATGTCTTAGAAAAAAGTAAATCATTCTTATAGCAAATTTATAATACGTGAAATTTAGTAAAAAGTAGATGATTAGATGCTAATGCTGGAAGTATAATATGTAGCTTAAATATAATTATAAGAACAAAGGTCAACAAAAATTTAAGTGACCTTTTAGCACTTTTAGCAATGAAAATACATCTATGACCCAGTCAGTTTCTAAATTTTTAAGAGAAATTTTTTGCTAAAGAATTCCCCACCACCCACCCACAGTGCTTTTTGTGTGGTGTGGGTGGTGTGGTGTGGTATGAGTGTGTGTGTGTGTGTTCCCGTGCATGTGTGTAAGAGAGAGAAAGAGAGAGAGCAAATGAGTGGTACTGCTGGGGGTGGGTCAGGAAAGGGGAGAATGAAAAGACACGTAAAGATCTTTGAAAGACAAAAAGAATCAAGCACAGTTGATATTCACTAGAAACATCCTGTGCTGGAGTGGTGAGATAAATACTTTCAACATTAGTAGGAACAACCACTTCTAAAACCTACAGTGTAAATATTTAATTTAAAAAGTCTACAAAATTAATTTTAAATTTATAGCAGAAAAAAGGACTTCAATGCCAATCTCATTAATACTGTAATCTTGGTCTAACTTCCAAATGGCTTCAATTCAGCAACAGATTCCTTTTTGACACTGATGCTCCATTTACTGAATACTGAGACAGTCATTCCTTTTATTAACCAATTACTTTAGAATGACCCTTTCTGACAAGAGCCTGTCAGTGTGTTGGTTTGAAAGAGAGTGATGTGGTGTTAAATTCTAGCCTTGACCTCTCCCACCCTCTCTCTTTATCACCTCCATACACTTGATGGTGATAACTAACATGTTTCTTTAAAAAAAAAAAAAAAAAAAAATCCCCTTCAGTTGTTATTGGTAAACTCTGGAATATAAAAAACTTAATAGACATGGTAGCATACCCCCAATCTGGAAGCTCTCAACAGTTCCCTAAATCAAATCTTATTAATGTGATTACTACTTGTAATGAATCCAGCAAAATCAGTCTACTAACTTGCTTCAATTAAGACTTTCCTGGTGAAAGAACTATGTTTACTGTGTTTTCTATTATTAAAGAGCAATAAATGTGCTTTTAAGGTTAGTCCTTATAAGAAAGTATATAAATTCAAAGCACACACACACACAAAATTACAGAAAGAAGGTCTTCCATTTAGCTAAAGAAAAGGAAAATTCTCTGTAAAAGTAAGCATTAAAATAAATATTATGGTATCTGACTGGATTATATTTGAGTCAAAGTTAGCCCCTAAATAGTACTGCTTGTTAATTTCATTTAACAAACTCTAGTTCCCTCTCTCACATTAATTTAATAGCAATCCTCTAGCCTCCCTACCCCCCAACGTTTTTAGTTCCTCTTGGAAAACCAAACAGTTCATTATATATCTTGAATAAATATGTTTTAGGGGATTTCTTATACTAAACATCACAGGTTGGTGCTTTACAGAAGTGTGTTTACATACACTGTTCCAAATTTCCCTTGAATCTCTATAAAAAACATCAAACAACATTTTAAGTAAAATCAATACCATTTTCTTTCCATTCTTCCAGATGAATGCATAGTGAAGATGAACGGTGCTGTAATTTTTGTGCTGTCAGCAAATTTAGCATCTATGTAGCTTGTGTGTAGGAGCTCTGGTAGCATAGTGCCTAAGGCATTTGACTGATAACCAGAAGCCTAGTGGTTCAAACCCACCAGCCACTCCTTGGAAGGAAGATGGGGCAATCCACTTCTGTAGTGATACTGCCTCGGAAACCAAAGGAGGGGTCACTATGAGTTGGGTCCAACTCGAAGGTACATAACAACAACAAGCTTGTGTGTAGCAGATGCCCTAATGTTTGTTGAATGAATAAATGTCAACTTCTACAATGCCTCTTTCTCTGGAAAGGAGTTATTATCTGTAAGAATTTTGAAACATAATGCTAATCTGCCTCATTTAAAATGTCTTTTTCTGTTACTATTTTGTAGAATTTCTGTCCCAATCTTCTGCTTACTTGAAAAGACTCCTTTTAATTATATATGATAATAGCTAGCTACCAGATTATCTGGAACATATATAAGTTTGTTTTAAGGAAAATAACATTTTGGGTAAAATATTAATGAGAAAATTAAACGACTCTGGGGTTGGAGCTAAAAGAAATTAATGCACAATCAAACTTTTATATCCATTTGTTTATCCAAAAGCTTTACAGACATCAAATTTATTAATGAAACACCTGGAGAACTCAGAAGTGAATTCTTTAGTTGACTAAAAGTGTTTTCCTTTGTGACTGCCTATCTTTAACAAAATTTCCTATTTCAGGAACTTAAATTTTTTTCCACCCTCTTTCTTAGAAGAAAAAAAAAATCACTTAACCTTAAATCTAGATATGCCCTTCTTTTATATGAGTGTAATAATAAGAACCAAAAAGGTCATATTCTGTAAAAAAAAAATTATCCAGCTTGTCTAATGGATAAAGAACTTTAGTTTTCTTATCAGACTTGCTCACTAACATATTGTTGTAAATAATTTCCCTTAGTTTTTTACACACTTTTTTATGCTAAATAAATACCTTCTGAATTAGGTCTTTCAGTTTGCAGACTTCTTCACTTAAATCTTCAACATTACTAACCAGTTCTTCACAAACAGAAGTAAAATTCCGTGGAGAAGCCCATTCTAGTACTATCTGTTAACATTTTCAAAAGTTATATTTCAGAAAATGGAAAAAAAAAAATTCATAATTTTTTTTCTACAGATTACAAAAAAATTTTAAAACATTATACTTTAAAAGCATTTTTTGTTGAAGATAAATCCAGACAGAAAAATTAAATCAGTAATTTTATACAAAACAGATTTGCTGAATTCATTTAGTTAAATATATGTACATATAACATTCCATATGGAGATTAATATTACTACTTATGACGAACAAATAATTTATGAAGGTTTTAAGAATGATATGGTTCCTAAATTAGTGTTAAACAAAAATTATAGGAAAGTAAGTATTTAAAATTTTTCACTATAGACAAGTAGTTAAAACCAACTTACATGAAAACTCTACAAAACAATTTTGCTTTTACAGGTCACTTACACTTTCTCTATTTAAAAATTTCCTTCATTTAAAAAACCTTATTTTGATTGTTTTTTTAATAAAACGAAACACACTCTTTTGTTTCAAATTTTACTTGGGTCTCCTTTAAGAACAGTTAGTTCAATAATTTGATCAATTTAATTTTTGATGTGACTCATTTTCCTTTTCTTGAGGGCTAATTCACAAAGTTTTTCAAGGAATTAGTATGGAAAATAGTAATATTTAAACAAACAGATTTTTAAAAATCTTATGTGATTTTATGAAGACTGGATACAATTTAACAAGTCAATACTGTGTTTCTGAATTACCATTAACTAGTCTAGAATGTTCTTTAACATTTGTAATTTTCTTCACTTCATAAGCTTTGTAGAATACCTTGTGAGAATTTACAGGTAACTCAGCAATGATATTCTGAACCGCTGTTATTAAATGGCCACACTGTTTGTTTAATTTCAGAAGGAAACTGAGGAACTCATCACCACTAAAGAAAGAAAAAGAAACATGAATCATTAATAAAGGCAGTTTCATTCTACTGGGTAGGTAACTCAAAACCTATACACAAAATGAGATTCTTTGAAATAAATTTATGGAATAGCCAATTATGTATTAGAAACTGAAATAAATATTGAGTATACCAATTCTCACAACTGGACCAATATACAACAGTATATTGACAGAGAACTTCCAGAGGTGCAAGCTGGATTCAGAAGAGGACGTGGAACAAGGAATATATCATAGCTGTTGTCAGATGGATCTTGGCTCAAGGAAAAGAATACCAGAAAGATGTTTACTCGTGTTTTATTGACTATGCAAAGGCATTTGATTGTGTGGATCATGACAAATTATGGATAACATTGAGAAGAATAGGAATTCCCAAACACCTGATTGTACTCATGAGGAACCTGTACCTTGACCAGGAGGCTGTCGTTTGAACAGAACAAGGGG